CCCCTCCCCCTCTCCCCTCCCCTCCTCCCCTCACCCCTCTCCCCTCTCCCTCCCTCTCTCTCCCCTCTCCCCTCCCCTCTCACCTCTCCTCCCCCTCCTCCCCCCTCCTCCCCTCTCCTCTCACCCCGCCCCTCCTCCCCTCACCTCCCGCTCCCTCCCTCCCTCCTGCCCGGCACGAGGAGGGGCTCGAGGCCGAGCAGGACGGAGGCGCTGAGGAGAGGGAGGAGGACGGACCGGGGGAGGCTGCCGCCTTCGTGCCCGTGGGCCCGCTCGTGCCTGGTGGCCGTCGCCGTCACGACGCCCCGCCCGACGTAGTTAATCGACGTGGCCAGCGTTGGATTATTCAAAGGTAGATTTAAAATAAGAAGTCAAAGTTTTGTGGTAATGATATTATAGTATATATACAAATTTTGAAACACACATACGCACATATATGCACGAAAGGCATCGGAATCACAGATGTAAATTGTTCTCTTTAGTGTGCACAAATAAAAACCAAACAAAGAAGGGGTCTTCGGCTTGTGGATGTCTCCGGGTCGCCCGCCGCGGCGCGGAGCGGATCGTGCGCGGCCCAGGCGGGAGGGGCCGTTTTGCTCCACGGGGACGGCGCGATGCGCGGTCAGGTGGCCCAGCTCTTTGACCGTGGATGCTGATGCTGATGCAGATGCCGCCGACGGCGACGACGACGATGGTCAAGGTCATGGTCATGGTCATGGAGGTGATGACGACGACGATGGCGATGGTGGTAGTGATGATGAAGATGATGATGAGGAGGAGGATGGTGATGATGGTGATGATGGTGATGGTGATGATGCTGATGCTGATGCTGATGCTGATGATGATGATGATGATGATGATCATCATCATCATCATCATCATGATCATGATGGTGATGGTGCTGATGCGGATGCTGACGCGGATGCTGATGCTGATTATGCTGATGACGAAAATGATGGTGGTGGTGGCGGTGATGATGATTATGATGATGAGGAGGAGGAAGAAGAGGAGGACGATAATGCGAGGGAGGAGGAAGCTGAAAGGGACAGTGGAAATGAGGAGGGTCATCCCTCTGTCTCCCGTGCAAGACTGGCCTCATGCCATTTTAGCAACGGGCATGGTCGAAGTATTCGTAAGTCCATATTCCTCCTGCTTCTTTTCTCCACCTCCTCATTATTTTATCCGTAAGGGCTTCGCCCCCTGCCGCCGGCCCCCTCTCTCGGATAATGGGTAATGCAAGAGCGAAATCATGAGGCCTTGGCGCCGCCGTGAAGCGGAGTCGGGACTTCACGCGAAGACGATGAGTAACCGGCAAGACAAATTAAAATTTTGATGATATTGTTGAATTCGGCGTTGTACTTAGAGGGTTTATGGCCACGGGTACGCGAATAGTGTGTAATTGACAAGGGCTTATGGCTTCGGGGGGGCAGATATAGCGTAATTTACGAAGGTTTATGGCTTCGGAGACGCGAGTATGGAGTACTTTGCGAGGGCGTATGGCTTCGGACACGCGATTATGGGTGTATGGCTTCGGGGTCGCAAATATTGTGTCGTCCACGCAGGTTTATTGTTTTGGAGACGCGAGCATTGCGTAATTTACAAAGGTTTATGGCTTCGGGGACGGGAATCTCGCGTGATTTACTAGCTGTTGTGGCCTCGGGGACGCAAGCATTGAATAATTTACCAGGGTTTTTGGCTTCGGGGACACGAATACGGCGTATTTTCCGACGGTTTATGGCTTCGGGGCCGCGAATAGTGTGTACTTTGCAGTGGGTTATGGCCTCGGGGGCCCGAATCTTATGCATTTTAATGTCCCACGCACTCCCCAGGAATTCAGGCAACGCGATTCGGGCGTGGTAATCAGGACGCTTTTCGGCTCTCCCCCCTCGCGCGGTCCATCAACAACGAACAGTAAGCAGCAAGAAGCAGAAATATAACAGTGGAAGCTGGAAGCTGGAACTGGCGCAGGGAACAGCAAACCCTGGCCCTACAGCCCGGTGGCCCCACAAGGGGGCCGGCGGATTATCATCATCATCATCATCATCATCATCATCATCATCAGCATCAACATCATCATCATCATCATCCTCATCATCCTCATCATCCTCATCCTCATCCTCATCATCAACCCACCATGTTACAAACCAGTAAGTTGTGTTTACACCTCGGTATTCTTGCACCGAAACTCCCTGATTCGTGCACGGTCGCCACACTCAAAGCTCTCGTAAACGCCTGGCCCACCACTCGTCGATATCGTCAAGGTGCCCAAGCATGTCGTTTCGGTTATCAAGCTGTGGGAGGCGATTCCGTGGAACATGATGTGAGTTGCCTTGTAGTTCGTCTTGTGCTCACCCGCTGCCTCCCGTGCCTCCCCGCAGAGTGGGGGGATGGGGATCATCTGTCTGCTTATTTTTTCCGCTGACCTCCTTGAGCTTTCGAAACAACGATTGCGCTTGATTGCGATTGCGTTTGATCTTATTTTCTCTGCCTTTAACAGCCTCAGGGTTTGGCAGCCGGTCTCGGCTGAGCAGGGAGTTCTTGCTCTCGCGAGCCGTCTCCGCGCCTTGTCCACGGCCTCCAGGGTGGTGAGGCTCCTGGCACACGGGCGCGATCTTTTCAGGTCGCCTACTCAGCGCTCATTGGTGGGCTGCCGCCGCTGCCGTCACCCGCCGTCCGCCGAGTGCTGATCATCCTCATCATCATCACCATCACTAGCAGTATCATCATCATCATCATCATCATCATCATCATCATCATCATCATCGTCATCATCGTCATCGTCATCGTCATCGTCATCGTCATCGTCATCGTCATCACCATCATCACACGATCAGCATCATCATCAGCATCATCATCATCATCACCATTACCGTCGTCACCATCGTCGCAGTCATCGTCGACATCATCATCATCATCATCATCATCATCATCATCATCATCATCATCATCAGCAGCAGCAGCAGCAGCAGCAGCAGCAGCGGCAGCATCAGCATCAGCATCAGCATCAGCATCATCCTCCTCCTCGGCATCATCATCATCAGCAATAGCAGCAGCATTATTATCATCATCTAATCATCCCTCTGCCCGCTCTCCCTACCTCCTCCCTCCCTCCCTCCTTCCACTCTCCTCCCTCGCCCGCTCCCTCTTGACATCGAACAGCGTCAGGCCCTCAGTCCACTCAGAAATGAACGGTGTCGGCGGCTCTCAGCTTCAGATGCCGGCGGCCATCGGGCTCGGCGAATTGTGTCAGGAGCGTGGTCGCAAGATCCGTAGTGTTGTAATTTTTTCTCCTCCCTCTTCCCCTGCCCCTCCCCTCCCCATACCCTCCCTCCTCCCCTCCCCAATCCCCCTCCCCTCCCCACTCCCCCTCCCCTCCCTCCACCCCTCCCCCTCCCCCTCCCTCCCTCTCTTCTCCCCTCCCCCTCCCCCTGCCCTCCCTCCCCCTGCCCTCCCTCCACAATTACACAATATGAATACTACTCTCCTCTCTCCCCTGGTGGCATCCGGGGAATGTCCGGCCCCCCTCCGCGTATTAGTTTACACAGGATTCCCGTGAATTGGGTTCTCTTTTTTTTTTTCCTCTCAAAATTCGGTTCTCGCTGAAGCGCTGGCTTCGTTTTCGGGCTACTGCTCGTTCCGAATCGTGCTCCCGCTGCAGCGCTGACCTCATTTCCGCGCTTCCGCTCGTTCCGAATCGTGCTCCATCTGCAGCGCTGGCGTCATTATTTCCAGCGCCATGCCACGGCATGGTTTTCGGTCCTTCCAAACAGGCACAAAAGTCTTGCACCCCCGAACAAAAAACCATGGAAGTGATTCACACATTTGGTGTCGATTCGTTGATTTTTTGGGCCGCAGAAGCCCCCCCACTTTGGGCCGTCGCCACGCCATGCTATGTCAGGCTACGCGTCCTCATTCCCGCGCTTCCGCGCTGAGTTTTTTTCCCCCAAAAAATGCTGCTCTCGCTGAAGCGCTGGCCTCATTTTCGCGCTTCCGCTCGTTCCGAATCGTGCTCCCGCTGCAGCGCTGGCGTCATGTTTTCCAGCGCCATGCCTCGGCATGGCTTTCGGTGTCCTTCCAATTAGGCCCCCAAATGTAGAAAATGGACACCCGAAGAAACCATCGGAAGTGATTACACATCCGGTGTCGATTCGTTGTTTTTTGGGGGCCGCAGAAGCCCACCTTGGGCCGTCGCCACGCCATGCTATGTCAGGCTACGCGTCCTCATTCCCGCGCTTCCGCGCTGAGTTTTTTTTCCCCCCCAAAATGCTGCTCTCGCTGAAGCGCTGGCCTCATTTTTCGGGTTGCCGCTTGTTCCGGATCGTGCTCCCGCTGCAGCGCTGGCCTCATTTCCGCGCTTCCGCTCGTTCCGAATCGTGCTCCCGCTGCAGCGCTGGCGTCATTATTTCCAGCGCTATGCCTCGGCATGGCTTTCGGTGTCCTTCCAATTAGGCCCCCAAATGTAGAAAATGGGCACCCGAAGAAACCATCGGAAGTGATTACACATCCGGTGTCGATTCGTTGTTTTTCTGGGGCCGCAGAAGCCCCCACTTTGGGCCGTCGCCACGCCATGCTATGTCAGGCTACGCGTCCTCATTCCCGCGCTTCCGCGCTGATTTGTTTCAGAATGCTGCTCTCGCTGAAGCGCTGGCCTCATTTTTCGGGCTACCGCTCGTTCCGAATCGTGTTCCCATTGCAGCGCTGGCCTCATTTTCGCGCTTCCGTTTGTTGCGAATTGTGCTCCCGCTGCAGCGTTGGCGTCATTATGTCCAGCGCCATGCCACGACATGGCTTTCGGTCCTTCCAATGGCCTCCCGAAGAAATCATTGTAAGTGATTACACATTCGGTGTCGATTCGTTGATTTTTTGGGCCGCAGGAGCCCCCCCCCACCTTGGGGCGTCGCCACGCCACGCGATGCCATGCTACGCTACGTCATGCTATGCCATGTAACGTTATGCCATGCTACGACATCCGATTGTGCGAATATGGGGGAGATCTACACCAGGGTAAGAGATGGGAGGGAGGCGTAGAGCTTGCCCCCTCCCCCTCCCCTCCCCTCCCTCCTTCCCTCCCCCCTCCCTTCCCCCTCCCCTCCCCCTCTCGTCGCGCCTCCCCCTCCCCCTCCCATTCCCCTCCCGTCCCCTTCCCCTCCCTCCACAATTGCACAATATGAATACTACTCTCCGTTCCTTTCTTGTGACGTCCGGAAGATATCCGGCCCCCATCCGCGCATGGATTTTTACACAGGATGCCCAGGACATCGTTTTTGCTTGTGTTTTTGTTCAAAATGCTGCTCCCGCTGAAGGCGCTGCCCTAATTTCTGAGCCTCTGGCTGATCCAAGTCGTGGTCCAGCTGCAGCGCGGGTGTTTTCGGTCCTTCCAAATAGGCCCCAAAATGTAGAATATGTTCCCCCGAAAAAACCATCGAAAGTGATTACGTATTCGGTGTCGATTCGTTGGCTTTTCTGGCCGCAGAAGCACCCCATTTGGGGCGTCGTCGCTTTCAGGAAGTAGCAAGCGGGAGTCCTGTTCCTGCTTCGAGAAGGCGATGTTGAAAGCAGAGCCAGCGGGTGCTCTCCATCAGCCCCGCCCTGTGTGGAGCCTCTCGGGGAGCCCAAGGAGCTAGACATGGAGCCACGACTCCAGACCGGCCCAGAATCTTTCGAAGATGACCCAGTTACTTTCCAAGGGACCTGACGCCATGCCATGACATGCTGTGCGGTGTTGTGTTCTGCGCCGCTGTTCGATGCCATGTCTTGCGTCGCAGCAATGTTTGCTTATACAATACTTCACTGCGCAATGCCACGCCATGCTATGGCATGCTACACTCTGCCATACTCCTTTGCGCCATGCTATGCCGTGCTCTACCATGCAACGCGTACCCTCTCGCGATCATTGCCCTGCTCAACATCCGACTGTGCGAATAGAGAGGATATCTACGCCGGGGTAAGGGATGGGAGGGAGGGGTAAGACGTCAGATGACGCGAGCGCACCTGGCTTGTCCCCTCCCCCTCCCCCCTCCCCCCCCCATTCCACCCTTCCCCTCCTCTCCCCATTCCTTCCCCTTCCCCTCCCGCCTCCCCTCCTCTCCTTCCCCTACCCCTCCCTCCCCTCCCCTCCCCCTCCCCTCCCCCTCCCCCTTCCCTCCCTCCTGCCCCCTCCCCTCCCCCTTCCCCCTCCCTCCCCTTTCCCCTCCCCCTCCCCCTCCCCTCCCTCCCCCTTCCGTCCCCCTCCCCCTCCCCCTCCCCCTCTCTCCTCCCCTCCCCTCCTCCTCCCCCCCCCTCCCCCTCTCCCTCCTCCGCCCTCCTCCCGGCCCGAGGTCGCAGCCCCTCACGCCGCTGTCCATCATCCAGGGCGGCGCCGCGCCTGGCACCCCCATCGACTTGCTGCAGGGGGCCGACCAGCACGGGGGTGCCCCAGGCGGACCCCGCAGCCAGGGCCTGTTCAGTCGGGCGCGTCCCTCTACAGGAGGAATTTCCCCCAACAGTAAGAAAATAGTCCGGGCACGATGTTTCGATGTTCTTGCTGTTTCTCATTATTTTTGATTGTTCTACGATGTTCAAGGTTCGAGGATGTTCGGCTATGTTTATTGATTGTTCGATTCTTGCTGGTACTAGTTTTGAAGATCGGTTGACTATGTTTCACTTTCTGTCCGACCTAAAGCCAGGAGCCGCCGTCGCGCACCGAGAGCGTTACGCTACAGTCGGACCGAGGTATAAGAGGGAGGCAGGTTCGGGGAGGGTATCCTGGTGCTCGAAGAGAGAGAGAGCAATAGAGAGAGAGAGAGAGAGAGAGCGAGCGGCATAAACAGAAACCTTCGGCGCTCCGCGTAGATTTCTTGGATCCGCGCTGCCCCCCCCCCCCCCCCAGCGGCGCCTCCGGCGCCGCCGCCGCTGGCGCGCTCCGCGCGCCAGGGAGGGGGTTCAGCACAGATCTGAGGAGTCCGCGCGGAGCGCCAAACGTTTATGTTTATGGCTTGTGCTTGTCGGATGCTCTCGTGCATCCTGGGGGAGGGTATCCTTGGATGTTCTCTGTGTGTTTTGGCCGGCGGAGGGTCTCATGTTCTTGGAGGATGTTTGTCTGTCTTAGGTCCGGCTGAACTCGCAAAGTGCCTACTCGCAAACGCCAGAGAAACACGCAGTTGCCTCGACGTGATGGATCGTGAATCCTTCGCGGCGGATCCAGGCCATTTGCGAGCAGCTGCTTTGCGAGTAGTGGAACGCGCTCACCTGGTCGTCGGCGCTGTCCTCGCCATCGTGGTGTCGAGGGTCCTGGGCAAGTCTTTTTCCCACCCTCCTTGGTTGGGTAGTCGTTTTGAATAAAGCACCGCGGTCGCGTCTTCCTCCTCCCGCCTCCCGCCTCCTCCTGCCCTCTCTTCGCCGTCCCTGGGGGGGGCTGCGATCTGCGAAACCGTCGCCACTTTCGAGGGCTGCTGGTGGGTCCAGCGGAGTGAGGCATCGCGCAGACCTGAGGTAGACCTCGCCGTCCCTGGGGGGGCTGCGATC